ATCTACAAAACGGTTTTAAAATATCCAGCATGAAATTGGTCTATTAAAGGGAATCTGGTATTCCAGGGCAACAGGGAAGGAGCAGGAGTGTGGTGGGACTGTGGTTTGCTCTTTCACTTTGGCACAGTGGGTAAGAGGGTGCTCCTTCACACCAGAAGCATCTACACAGTCCATTGAGTTGGCCAGCTGTAAACACCTGGGAATCTGAGAACCCTTGGTGCAAAGTATGTAGCTTGTTCCTGCAAGGCACTGAGCAAGAGGTTCAATGTGAAACCCAGGGCTTGGGCTTGGCAACTGCTCACAGAGTTAGCTACATTCCAACTGCCTGAGTCCCTCAGCATCCCTCCTGAAGGCTCCGCAACTCGAGATGGACTTGGTTTTGTTTGGGAGGGGAGGGGGGTGGCTAGTAGGGACGCGAACTTCACCCACACCATGTGTAAAAGAGCAAACAGATTGTAAACATTTGGGAAGAATAAAAGTATACAATATTGTATGAATACGCACAACATACTGATTGATAAATGCTACTTTAATTTTATTATTACTTTTCTTTCCTTTTGATAGGGTGACCATTTACATGCACTGGTATAAGGTTAATCACTCCCATTACTCCAGATGCTCTCTATGTTCAATGTACAATATGACTAGTTAGAAGAGATAATATTTGTCTAAATTCCTACGGAAATTGAGATCAATCTTTTCAAGTCTGCTACATACGGTAACCATGGGCCTTTTCTTAAAAATAAAAAGGACAGCTTTAATCACTTTCTAAAGTCTTGCTCCTTGGAACAAATGAAACGTTTTGCTTCGAAACTTAAAACTGATGATTCAAAAAACACATGAAAAGCCTGCATAGTAATAACATGCCAAGCTAATAAAATAAATACTTCATTAAAACAACCTTGATGTATTTTCCACAGTGAGGATGAAAATGTAGCAAGTTATTGGTTTTTCTGGATGAAAATCCCCAGATGAGGGGCAAAGCCACTCTAATTCCACCTTCTCCTTTAGAAACAGCAAGCAGCAGATCAACTATGCGGCTCATTTGAAATTACTCACTATTTGTGCGCAAGGATGTAAAAACAAGTTACCATTTCTACAATCTCAGGATGCCCCAAAATGAAATAATTTTGAATATTAAGTAACCCAGGATCCCCTGTTAATATTCAGGGGTGTGTGTTCAAATGTCACCGATAGTAGCTGGAGAAACTAATTTCAGGTAATTCAATCTGGAATAGAAAGCTAGTCTCAGCAGGAGTGTGACAACTACCCTCGATTGGCATAAAGACCCATCTGGTTTAATGATTCCTCCTGTCCTTACCCAGTCTACATGTGACTCCAAACCCACAGTGATGTTGTTAGCAACATACTGGCCTTGCAAAACCACCCAGCCTCAAAGAAAGAATAAAGAAAGCTATCAAGATAATGAAACACACTGATTATTTTCCTCACCTCAGCGTTTTAGTTCTCAAGTCACAGCTGAGGGAGGTCTGGAAGCTGTATTTCAGAAGGGAGGAGAAGTTGGGGGTTAACCAGCAACGGTAAGGAATAAGTTACTCAATTCAAACCAAAACATCGGAATGAAAAGGGCAAGAACAGTTTCTGATGAACAGTTTCAAGTCCTATTTTAGTCTTTGCAATTTCAAGCTTACATGCAGCTCGTAGTAACATCATAGTTATACAAGAATAGAAACCGGGCCATCAATCACACCCTGCTATATTTGAACAGCTTGGAGCTAAATATTGCCTCTAAGTTCAAATCTCTGCTGGGTCACTAATTCTCTTCTGAAGCATTGAATCCAACAACATTTCCCAAGAAAACAGCAGAAATAAGGGTGCCTTAGCCAAGTGAATTTGGCCAAACAGGGGCTACACACAGCAGCAGCGAAGTCAGCAGACCAGCTCCTGGCCTGGTGATAGGTCTGGCCTGAGGAAGGATGATGCCTTGCAGGGAAATAACACCAAGGACGCAGGATAGAAGATTAGGGGAAAAAAGGTCACTGTGAACATTCCTGTGCCATAAATTAACAGGTATTATTCCAATTTGGATGTCTGTGTCACTGAAACAACCATTTAACCACCATCCAAATCCCAATGAACCGAGTAGCTTATTCAACTAGTCCTAAGGGCAGTTAAGAGTCAACCAAATTGCAGTGGATCTGGAGTCATACGTAGGGTTAGGGTTAGGGTAAGGCTGGCAGATTTCCTTCCCTAAAAACAGACACTGTTGTTTTAAAACAAATCAACAGCTGTCATAGTCACCATCACGAAGACAAGGTTGCAATTCCAAATTTTTATTCATTGAGATGAAACTCCACCAGTCACCATGGTAGGAACCATGTCCCCAGAACATTAGTCTGCATACCTGGATTACTAGCCCAGTGCCACTGGGGGCTGGTGAATTACATAGGCAAGGTAATGCTGTCATGGTAAAGTTACTAGCTGCATGTACTACAGCTCAGAATAAAGAGGCAACCTCACTGAAAGAAATTCTGAAGGGGTGTGTCAGGTTAGATACTGGGGGGGCATACAGTAAAATGCACAGGGGCACAAGACAGGACAGGAGAGTGGAGCTCATGGGAAAGCTGCGTGAGAGAGCTGAAACAGGCTAGATTCCTGCCTTCGGTATAGGATTGTTTAACTCCATGACAGAGCAGTTGGGTGAAGCCTCTCTCTCACTTGCTGCACGGCACTCACTGCTTTCTGTCGGCACTGCATCAAGAACACTGCGAGCTCCCTTTCTTCCAATCAGATCACACCAAAGGGAAAGAAAGCAGAAGTGCATTTCATCAGGATCTTTCACAACCTCAGAACAGTCCCAAAGCACACTCCTTAAAATATCATTGTTACCTGCAGTCAGGAACATAGCAACCCATTTGTGCACAGCAAGCACCCATAAATGGCAGCATGACAACTACTAAATAATCTTTTCTTCGGATGTTGATTGAGAGATAAACATTGGCCAGGACTCCAGGTGGAGGTCCACTGCACATTTTGAAATAGTCCAGTGGGATCTTTACATACCACCCCCCACCACAAGAAAGCAGTCAAAGTTGGTTTAACATCTCAGTCAAAACAAAGCAACTCTGACACTGCAGCGGTCCCTCGGTTCCCACCCCCTTAGCTCTGACACTGCAGCGCTCCCTCAGTCCGCTCCTCCCCCTCCTCAGCTCTGACACTGCAGCGCTCCCTCAATCCGAACCCCGCCCCAGCTCTGACACTGCAGCGCTCCCTCAATAGTGTTGCATGGAGTATCAGCCTTGATTTGTGTGTACTCAAGTCTCCAAAGTAGGACTTAAAAATAATGACGTTGTAACTCGTGAGTCTGCAGAGTACTCAATGAACCACTGCTGACCATTGTTCAGTCAACGTCCCCATTATTTTCACCTTCAATGCACAGCCTCTGCCATTACTGCAGTCTGAAGGTGTGATGGCCAAGGGGTGTTCTCTCTGTGCAGTGATGCGTGGACTTTAGAAAAAATGAAATATTAAATTACAAACTGCCAGGTTAGCCCGAAAGGAACAGGTTACACAGGCCAATATCTTAGTCCAGGTTTTTCAATTGCCTAAATTAACCACCACTAAAAAAAAGTTTAACACCAAACAAAATCACTCCATTTTACTTTCTCTAAAAGGAGATTTTAAATACGATTAAAATGAGGAATTGGTTTTCAAATTGAAGACGACATTGCCCTGATGTTTCTCTTCATACCAGAGTTGCAAAGTTTCTGTAAAACCCAGTTTAGATGCTGTGCTTGTGGTTTTGAAGTTTGCATCACAACTCCCCTTGCAAGCAGGTCTGAAAGCTGATTAATTCAATACCCTGACGTGTACGTTTATTAATCTTAATAACTTTAATTATTCAAATTACCCAATTAATTGGTTAGGTTTTTAGACACTTTATTTATATTATTCATACAATTAAAATCACCCAAACCTTTATTATTCATTCATGCAGAGTCCAAACAATGTTACATACAAAATAAAAATATACATTAGTTCCTAACTTACAGGCCCCTAAGTGCTGGGCTCATGTCTTATCAGAGTGTTAGTTATGTCCCGTACTTCAACGTTTAGGTTTTAAAAATTCCACACCCAGCTTTTGAACAGTGACCTCACCAGCGAGCTAACCAGTGCTGAAATAATGTTTTCCAACCAACAGTTAAATGCATCCTACCACAATATTACCTGATAGCAACAAACACCCACTCATTTCTTTCTGTACTTGTGTTCCTATACAAATTCATCAGGGGATTTCAATGTGAACAAGTTGTACGCACTGAAACCTGCTGTGGTCTAATTCCCTCCACTTTGTACAGTCCCTCCCTGCCTCAAAAGCAATTCAATATTGAATTTAGCACTGCAGCTACGTACAGAAATTAACTGGAAAGGTGACAGGAAAGGGGATTTTGCTGGTTTGAGAGTAGTGCTAGAGCAAACAGCTCAAATAAAAATAGTTTGCTTCAAAACAGGACACAGATTAAAGCTCTAGAGCAACCATTTAAAGAAGAAAGAAAGAAGGATCACAGCCTTAGTTTTACAAAATTCTATTCACTTGAATAAGCTGCATTTCTCAGATGCTATAATGCAAGCAGTCTGTTCAGTTTTTTAAACCGGAGCTCAGGTTTAGGTTTCAGGTTTGGATTTTGTGATATTTACATAAGAGGCTACTGCTGCTACATTCAAATATGAATGACCCAGATTCTGGCCGAAGAATGGTGGCATGGGGATAGAGGTGGACTTAGTCATGTTGTGCTTCAGTGCTCATGAGATTCCAAAACACACACACTCCAGGAGCACTGTGCAATCAGCTGTGTCCTCACAACAGCAGGATTTTAGGGTGAGCATGGTGACTTCACCAATGGGAGCCCTACATCACTGTGGATTTCAGGGTGGCCTGAGGGCTGAAACTGGAACCCCACCCTTGCATTCCTCCAACATCCACTCATCCGAGGCCAGAAAGAAAAATAGAAAGCTTGCACACAATCAGACAGCCTGGAATCTCTGGTGCCTTGTAAATAAACACAATCTAAAAGTAGTTACTCACATTTATATGGCACCTCATTGCTTCAAGCACCGATCACCACAGGGTCTTGTTTTAACAGTTCACCGAAAGGACAGCATCCCAGACAGTGCTGCATTCCTTCAGTACTACACTCCTGCAAACTATTGGCTCAAATGTTGTGTGGCTTGAGCTACCAAACTTTGAACTTGGAGGTGTGTGCACTACCATCTGAGGCGAACTGATATGGTATTTGTGTTAAGTTGCAGTCGAGAATTGACGAAGTCAGGCAAACAGGACAAAAGGGAAAATGTCAGCATTTATAATATTCACTGCGTGGTAATTAGGATGGATACAAATCCACCTTAAAATATGATTACATGAACAATTACCAGTATTGAATACACAATATTAGCACTAATTCTATAGAACTGATAAGAGTACATATTAAATCGACTAGATTTACCTCTTTTTCAACTGTTAAGATTTGTTTTTAACCCATAAATTTGGATTTACTCAAACAGCTGCACCCAACGCACTGAAGCAAACTCATTTCTGGCAGGTAAAGAAATGAGATAAAATTTTAAAATATTGATTTTAAAAAAAGATACTTCCAGCTGTCTACACAATAAAAGTAAGTGCGACCAATACTTTGGGCCTGTTCAAGGCAGTGGTCACTGTCCAGTTAACAGTCTCCCATTGGCTCAGCGTTAGTCTCCAATTTCCTCACATACAGGGAGATTTTTTTACCTGAACAGAAATGCAACCTCACGTCTCTGAACCTTTCGACATGAATTTCAAACAGTGTAACAGATGTGTCACCCCACAAAGTTACACATCTGTGCTGACTGCTAAAGAAAATTCCATCCTACCTAGAATTAAACTCAGTTTTAGATCTAATTGATAAAGACAAGAAAGCCACATTAAAGATTACTGTACAAGAGTAAAGGGGAGACAATGAAATGCAATGAGCAGCCCTCTGAATGAGGGAAGATAACAATACCTAGTGGGGCTGTCTTAAAGTTCAAGTACTTGGACAGGAAAAAAAAACTGCATACATCAATTCAATTTGGCTAAAATTGTTTTTTCTCCTCCCCACTTTTGAATATGATGTGAATTAAGGCTTCTGTTTCCAGACCACATTTTGCAAAACTGGGATATCCAAGAGCACCCATCTTGTTTGTCGGACTTGTACTACAGGAGTTTGGGTTGAATGACTTGCGGTTAAAAAGGCTTTGCAGCCTGCATTGCAGATTTTGCATATCATGACACACAGTCAGTCAGTAACTAGACAGGGTAGACAAACAGGAAGCTGGAAGAACACAGCAGGCCAGGCAGCATCTGGAGGAAAGGAGCAGTCAACATTTTGAGTATTACCTTTCTTCAGGACTGTTCACTCCTCCTTTCCTCCAGATGCCGCCTGGCCTGCTGTGTTCTTCCAGCCTTCTGGTTGTCTACCTTGGATTCCAGCATCTGCAGTTTTTTTGGCAGTAACTAGACAGCACAGGTTGCAATTAACCCCGCTATACAGCTACACGTACCGTAATTAGAGAGGAAGGTGAATATTTTGTGGATGGAACCACACTGTGCTGCATACAGTAACCAAAAAGCAACTGTTCTGTATGATGTTCTTCTGCTTTTTCAACAAGTCACTGATTATTTTAAGATAAATGCACTAATTTAAGTTGCGGCAGTTACAAATGAATCTCATACAAACTCGTTGATAACATTGTATGACTTCCACCTTTTTCAGTTGAACTTTAGACTTTTCATAGATTGAGCAGCTAGTAATGAGCTGTTTGGAGTCTGTAGACTGTTCAGTGGCACTCGATTGATAAGCAGTACAGAATATAAAGCTCAATTCTTCATGAAGAACTTCAATCTGATGAGGCTCAGTAATGCTAACCATCAACACATACAGGGACATCAGAGACATCATGGCACCAGTTTGGATAATTAGCTATGATGTATCATTGATCAAAGTTTGGAACCATTACTCACACTGGCGAATGTGTTCTCCAACCTCCAATAAAAGGTACATTTCAGTTGCAGTTCCACTTCAAGTCAGAAAACGATCACTTTCACTTGTGCTCATGAGTCTTCCCCAGTAGGGGAGAAAGTTAAACGAATATTTTGATTGCTGGTGTGTAGAGGACAATTTTTAAATTGATGTTAAAACCAACTGGAGATTATATTGTCGTGCACTTGTGCGATGTAGTCACATGTACAACACACAAGACACTCAACAGCCAAGACAAGACTGTAATCATCCCCACAAACGCTATTTTTGTACATGGTGTACCTCGTACCAGAGTCTATTGTGAATTTCAGTTTTAAATGAGATTTTGATCTACAACTTCATACAGCTCAGCAAATGAGGATCAGACCTCAATACACTCCAGGAAAACATGCACAAGTATCCTCTACACTCCACCAACCCATGGCAATCACCACTAATCAATTCTCGCTGTTCTTTGGGCACAATAGAATTGTTTAAGGAAAAACAGAATCAGATTAGCAACACCCCAATGGCATTATTGTTACATAATTGTGTCAAACCAGCAAGATCCCTTCAGCAGATACAAGGCCTCCTGCTGGTTTTACTTATGGCTTTAGAATTTGTCATTCTCTGCTGTCTGCGTCCATGTTGCAGGTTCACACGGAGGTCTAGTAATGTCCAGGACACTCACTAATATTTAAAAACAAAAACAAATAAACAACTTCACAGCCGGAAAGGTATCAAAATTTGGGTTTTACTCAAAATGTAAGTGTTTGGGGACAAAGTGAGACACTGAGATAGGTCAACTTGTTCCAGTCCTGAATCTTTTAAAAGGCCTGGTCGAGGCCCAATGGGACAAATGGCTTCCTTCTGCATTCCAAGATTCTTTAAAATCATATCCCTCACCAACAACATTGCTGACTTCTTTATGACCTTAAAAAAAATACATCCTGACACTAGCAGGATGTTGGGCTGGAATTGGTAATGGCACTGATGACAGCTAGGGGACAAGACACAGGTATGTGGAGAGGAAGGAAACTTTTAAAATGCTAACTTTTCCCCATTGCTGAACAAGCCCCTCCAGACAACCTGCAAGATGGACATCAGAATTGGTTTTGTCTGTAAATGATCAGCAACAAAATGGAAAACAATTACTGAAAGAGTAGACTATAAAAGGATAAAGAAAAATGCTATTTATGCACTGAATTCTGATCTGGAATAAATTAAGGCACCAGAGGTTTTAAAGAGAAACCAAAACAGAAAGAAAATTAAAAGAGAAAAATCGCACAAGTTTTCAGTAGAAAAGGAGTTCCTTATACAAGTGTTCTGAGGTGGAGGTCTGTGGAATAGTATTTTCTATGGAGAAATATCCTGAATTTGTTGTGGCTTTTTTTCATGATCAGGCCTGGGCGTTGGTTAATTTTTGGATTAAAGGTACCTGGAAAAGAAAGACAATGTAATGCTGAGAGAATCATTTCGAAAGAGCGACTGGGGTTTATACCTGGGTAATAATTACATGGATGTTATTGTATCTTATGCAACTCTTAATTGGTAAGGGACTTTCAAAGGAGGAGGAGGAGGAGAACTCCCTTCTAATAATCCTAAGAGATCTTTGACACCCTCCTGAAAACGCAATAGGACCCTTGGCTTAATGAATCAAGCAACCCCTTTTGATGCTGGAATTGTCGAATTGTCAGCCCAGATGAGGCAGTGACCTACACTGACTCTCAGTTAAACCACCCCTCAATTTAAAAATTCTAATCCTTGTTTTCAAAGCTCTCCCCACCCTGGCTCTGTAACCTCCTCCAGTCCTGCAACATTCAGATATGTGAACTCCTCCAAACCTGATACCACTAATCTCTCCACCCCTGACAGCTTTCAGCTGCCTGTGCTCCAAGCTCGGATTCCCTCCTTCACATCTCTCCCACCCACTGACTCCTATTCTCTTCATTTAAGATGCCTTTCTTAAGATGCTACCCCTTTATCCAAGCCTTTGTCATTGGCTCCAAGATATTCTTAAGTGGCTTGATGCCAAAATTTGATAGAGGACAATGAGGAACACCTGTGACATTGCTGCATTAAGAAGGCACTATATAAATACAAATTGCTGTTACTGAGTGAGGCTTGAACTCAATATTCTCAGTCTGAGGGGTGAAACTGCTGTGTTGAGCTGAGCTTCCAAGTTCTATTTTCCTTCACTAAATCATAAGGAAGTATCAGACTGCTATTTGACAAATGTGCAATTTGTCACAATTCTCTTAAACCAAGTACTTACTCGTCAACGTTTGCACAGAACATGGAATTACACAGATGCTAGAAGGAAAGAGGACACTGACCTTTGTTAGATCGACTCCTGTAAGAGCATGGACAGACGCAGGGACCTCTGCCAATAAGCGCGTGACCTCTGAGGTAACACGGTTATTGTCTCCTCCGAGAATCACAATTTCATCCGTCTTCGCAAGAGGAGCAGTGACTTCGGCAGCAATCTGGGCAAAGAGATAGTTCACCATAATTAAAACAGAAACTATATTACACAAATGCAAATGCTTTCCTGCCCCTCCAATTATTAATCTTGACCGCTTTGAGCTATTTCCTGGTCTCCCTTCTTCAGCATCCATATCCTGTCACTTAGCCTCCTCAATGCAGAGAGCTACACAGTTCCTGCTGCAGCAGTTGGGGGGTGCTGAATCCATTGAGCACAGGGATGGAGTGGCTCAGTGGTTGAAATTCCCAACAGCCCAACATGTAGCGCCACCAGGAGTGTATGCTCCTCTGGTTTACCCTTACACCTCCAGAATGCCATTCCAGGCTGACAAACAGCAATCATTTTGAGGGGGGGGGGGGGGGGAAAGAGAGAGAGAGAGAGGGAGAGAGAGAGAGAGAGAGAGAGAGAGAGAGAGAGG